AATTTCGATTTTTTAATCTCGTAATTACGACTTTACATCTCGTTATTTCGACTTTCTATTTCATTTTTTTTTTCTTTTACTGGCGGAAATGGGCTTCCATAGTATGGGGCTTCCATAAAAATCAAACAGACATACGCCAATTTTTAAAAACCTAGAAATCTTCTGATAAAAAAAAAGCTAAAAACAATGGCAAACATTTGGCTCTGGGTACCGAGTTGCGTAGGCGGGAACTGCCTTCTGATTGGTCCGTAAGGTGTCTGGGCACGTTCACGTCGCAATAAAAAGCGGCGCAGCAGTCAAACGAACACTCTTGGGCGTTACTGATTTTGTGTATTAAAATTTGCCAACAACATCGAGAAGATGAATGTAAGTATATATCTATATATTACATTTTCAGTAGCTGCCTTTCCTAGTTCAACCAGTCATACAAATGAAATACAAAAGTCCTTACACGATTCTGAACCTTTTCGCATAGTTTTGAATGACTTTATTCTTGAACATTGAACATTTCTCGTAACTTTATGACTTTATTCTCGAAAGGTATGCATTTACTTTCTCGTAACTTTGATTTTATTTTAACTTTACAACTTGTTACAACAGTACAACTTTAATCTTGGAAGTTCCGACTTTATTCTTGAGGTTTTATATTTTTATTAATAGTGGCCCTAAAACTCAGTCGTACACAAAATGTAATAAATATAACTATGTAATTGTATTGATTAAGTCCATGTTTTAGTATAATTATAATATGGCTTCAGGCAAATGGACCCAAAATGGTTAAGATGTACTTTGTTGAGTTATAGACATTTTGGACAGACTGTTCACACATGAAACTGATTATTTTGTCTGAAACAACAAATACAAACACACAACAGTCATTGGTGTTCTCTCCATTACTTTTAACCACTTTCAAAAAACCAGTGATTCAGATCTGAGACTGCAGGAAAGTACCCAAGACCAGTGGTGGCTGGTGAAAAAAAATATTGGTGGGGCTGACGTACCAATAAATTTCTCTTCCTAGTCCAGTATAAGCATTCAAATGAACAGTCAGAAAATGACAACAATTTGACAATCATACTCTTACCATTACACTGGAATTTCGGTACAGCAAAAAAAAAAAAAAAAAAAAATGACTGAACATGTTCTAATCAGGATAATACTTTTTGCTCTTCAGTCAAATTCATGACTTCCCTGTCTCTTAGAAAGGTTATTACATCGGGCAGTTTCTCTGCCATTATTGAACTGTGGAATACACAAACCATCTTTACATTCTTATTGTAGCCTATTAAAGAATATACATGAACAACAAACCTAAAGCATGTTACTGTTCCTAGCCTATTTTTTAGGCTACTCTATGTGACGCATTACTTCTAAATTTATCATTTGTGACCCCTACCTCCCCGGACAATGACAACCTTAACAAACGTGCTCTGCACTTTGTATCTGCTTCTCTTCGTACTGTACACTCACTGCCTGGCTAAGTTGCATGTTCGCATGACGGTCCATTTGCTTATAATTGCAACACCTCCGATATGATAACTCCACATCACAATAAAATATACAAAACTCCGTCGTATTTTAAGCATTGTTAAGCCCATTGAACGTTTAGTGAATTTAGCCTACCTGTCCACTGATGGTGATCTGCAAAGGATGATGCAGATTCCTGCACAGGGATGATCCGTTCATCAATTTGCGGGCTTTTGCTTTATTACAAAAAGGTACGACTTTTATCCCGTAACATTATGACTTTATTCTCGAGATTATAAATTTTCATTTATATTTTTTATATATATATATATATAAATAAATATATGTACACGAGGGTTTTTATGTCTGGCCACGTTCACATTGCAATAAAAAGCGGCGCTGCAGTCAAACAAACCCTCTTGGACGTTACTGATTTTCTGTATTAAAATTTGCTCAACAACACTGAGAAGATGAATGTAAGTATATATCTATATATTAGATTTTCAGTTGCTGCCTTTCCTAGCTTAACCAATCATACACATTGATCGCGTGGAAATGGATTAATACTAACCCAGCTGGATTTGAGCTAGTAATCCTCTCAAATAATTATTTAAATAACAACTAAATGTCATTATATCACAAGACATAAATTTAACTATGATCAGCCTGATGATGATCTAGTCACTGCTGGTGAGTCATGGCTGAATTTGATCAATAATTTTGCACCAGAGAAATTCACAGTTGAAATATCCTGATTTTGTAGCTATTAACAGGATTAAACACAAATAATGAAAGGACTCGAACTGCCAAAATGACTGGTGTACATCACTGTCTGCCTGGCTTACTTTTGTTAAAACCTATTACAGCTGGAAAACTGACTATAAAGCATGATAACTTAATCACAGTGTAACAAGTGTAAGACATTCTAAATGGTAAATGGACTGCATTTATATAGCGCTTTTTACCAAAGCGCTTTACAATGTATGCCTCACATTCACCCATTCACACCACACATTCACACACCGGTGGCGGAGGCTGCCATGCAAGGCACCAACCTGCACACCGGGAGCAATTTGGGGTTCAGTGTCTTGCTCAAGGACACTTCGATGGGGTCAGGAGGACCCGGGGCTCGAACGGTAGCACTACCTCCTGCACCACCATCGCACATTCTAAGACTTAAGTAGGAGTTTATGAGTTGTGTTTGCTGCTCCATGTTCTCAGAAGTGTGATCGATACCCTGATTATCTTTTGCACACAAAATATTACCTTCTTTGCACAAGATAATCATATTATTTGCACAAGGTAGGCTATTATCCAGTGTATGTAGTATGTAAAAAGGAGAGTCCGACTGAAAACTGAAATGTATTTTTGATGAAAACACATTTTTACTCTTTTGGTCTGACAGTAGTATATTCGTATCATTTAGTACAGCGGTTCCCAAACTAGGGTACGCATACCCCCTGGGGTACGCAAGAGGCTGTAGGGGGTTCGCGAGGGAGCGGGGGGAATCACGAATTCGAACAACGAGACAGTCAGTAATTCTCACAACAGCGGAGTTGGTGACCTCCAAAAAAAGCCGTAAAACACAAAATAGCCTACAGTCAAGTTTATGTCATATGTTTTTGTGCTTATTAAATTTAAGTGTTTCTAAAGATTAATCCCACAACAGTAATAAAATAAATGTCTTTAACATAAATACTAAAAGAATAGATCGCTTTAATCGCTATTACAGTTGTGTATGGGCACGCGGTCTTATTTAAATAACATACAAAAAGAGACGCATATAGCCTAATGTTTAATCATTCGTTAATGTGTATTTGTCCGGTCCAGGAGGTTAATTTTGGGGATCCACACAGGGTTAAGGAGGGGGCTTGGCACACGGAAGGAGCGGACGATCGGGGCATGACACTCACTGGAGAGCTTTGTCGTGCACAGATAACTTAACTGTCTCTAACAGCGTCTAATCGCACATTAAATAAAGTCCTGCGTATTTTTCTATTCTGAAATTCTGCCATGGCATGCACCAGTATGATGCTGGTGCAACTTTCCCAGGACCCTAGTCAAAAAATATCTGCCACTCTGGTCGCGGAAAACAAGCGCTAACGGAAATATGTGAAAAACACGGGAGCGGTAGAAGATTTTTTGAAATTTGACGGGAATGGGACGGTACGGGAATGACATCCCACGGGACTGAACGGGATGGGAATGGGTTTTGAAGATTTGGCGGTTAAATTGGATGGGAACGGAAACCCTCCAACGCGAATGGGATGGGAACCAAAAACCTTTTCCGTGCCCATCCCTACTGTGAAATTCTCCCACCGGATAGCAACAATCTATTACTAAAATATATTAATAAATTCATTTGGTGGTGAGAAATAATCGACTGTTCAGTATTTATTTTTATGCATGCGGTATTGCAATCTATTTATAGACACTAATTAAGAGTCGTTGGTAGCAGGGGGTACGCGGCTGAGGCTGACATGTCTCAAGGGGTACGTGGCTGGAAAAAGTTTGGGGACCACTGATTTAGTACATTATAATTAACAAGATGCTTCATTAACTATTTCTGAAAAGGTCTTGGTGGAAGATTGTCCCAGACTTCTTTGATCACTATCATATATCAAATTCGAAAATGGTGAAGTCAGGATGGCAGTAATTAACTGGTGCTCTCTCACTATGTACTAGCGAACATAAAATGCTGTGAGAAAAGTTTTAATTTAGGCTTGTTAGCACTGTGAAAATACTACTGTACATATAACTAAATACTCTAAGTACCTTGTGGGTTGGCTCAGTAGGTAGTACTACAACCTCATGTGTCCAGGGTTGCTGGTTTGATTCCTGCTTTGTATGTGTACAGTTTCCTTGTTGTCCCTCTTTCACATGGGTTTCCTCAGAGTACTGCTTATTTTGTTTAGCTGACGATGACGGGCATGCCTCTGAAGGCTACAAAACAGCTGAAAATCACAGCTATACCCAACCTTGATGCCAGGAGGTGAGTGATTTCCCCTCCTATTGCCTTGAGGGTTCAGCCCATGATTGGCTCCCACCTTTCCCCTATACTGAACTGTCACTCAGCTACTGCCACTGGGTCTTCTGTGGACCTCCCCTCCTCACCCCCCTTCTCACCTACCCTCCCCCAGGTTCATGATCAGTGTCGGGCACCAGGAGAATGCCACTGCCCTGATTTTTGATGTCCGCTTCAACCACCAAGGGGACCTTCGCGTCATCATCTTAAACTCCTTGCGCAATGGCTCCTATTCCACTGAGAAGAGGGAGAAACACTTCTTATTTCAGGAGGCAAAGGAGTTCGAGGTGAGGCTGCCCGTGTTTGTATCACTAAGGTACCAAGTTCCATTCCTCCATGTTTCAAGTTTTATTGTCGCATGTGTTTGGAAGAACGTAGTAAAATCCTTGTGCCACAGTTGCAGGGGAGGGGATGGTGCATGGGGGGGATTGGACAACAGTGTAATACAGGACAAACAGCAGGAACGTGTGGGGGTGGGGGCTGGGGGTGCCTGAGTCCCCGAACTATTTAATGTGAACTCGTGCATGAAGTTTAAAGGTACTAAGTTTCCCCTTTTCATCCTTTGCGCATCTGCCCGTCAAAAAGTCACAACCCTGACAAATACCAATGCAATAAAGATCAAGACATGTGAAATCTCATGAGCAATGACATCACTTCTTTTGTTTTGTTTAAACTCTAAATAATACGAGACCTTAAATGAAATATGTAGGGGTTTTAAATGTTAAATAAAAAACTTTAATAATTATAACTTAGGTTTAATGAAGCTCCCCTGTGTAGAATAATTATGAGTCCACTTGTCAAGGAAGAAATGAACTTAAACTACAGCTTCGTATTGTGAAAAGAATACATTGTGTTGTTTTTCCTTTTAATCTACTTGTTGTATTGCTGGTTCTTCACAAAGAAGAATAATACATTTAAATTTGCAGAAAAAGTAGGGAATAAAAATCTTTAAAGATAACAATATTGTAGCTGACTCTTGTAGATATCAAACTTTTCAAGGAAAAAGCTGACCTTCGTGAAGTTACCTCTAGTGGTTGATATATAGCATTGCATCATTTTCCCATTTATCCCCATGCATGTTCACCTATGCCTTACCCCAGCGTAACTGGCTGCTAGAAACGCCTCAAACAGAGGAAACTGGAATACTGGGAGGTCTTTTGCAATATTTCTTAAGGTGAAAATTATAATTAGTTTCAGGTCCATCCAACAACAATATACCGTCTCCACTGTTAGTACTTACTGAATGATTAGGGATGAACAGGTTTCTGTGAATGGAAGGCACGTCAGTCAGTGTTCACGGTCAATTGAAGCAATATTCGAAAATTTTAATCGCTTATCGGAAAACTGCGTTTGAACGCACACAAGGGAAATCCCGAGAACTGAGATGCTGGACAGGTGCTGCCGCCTAGAGTCTCACTGGTAATCAGTCAAATTTCAGAAATTTTCTCTGATTTTCTTCGGCTACGCAGGGATGGAGGTCGCTGTGTCCGAGGTTATCCTCTCAACCATATCTATGCTCTCAACTGCCATAAATAAAGAATTCCACCTTGTGGCATTAGGGAAAATCTACGGAACCCCTGATGGAACAATGGCAAAATATTAAAATGCTCATACTTCCATGTGTGTGCCTGATAATTTCACGCACACACCCGAAACTAGCCATCACTTCCGGGACCCAATGCGACATAAACCTTTTGTTTTTATTAATAATTGCACATGTCCATGCAGTACCAGTGACAACTTTTTAGTTTTAAATTTATTAGTCCATAAATTGTACTTTGATATACCTTTAATTATAAGATTAAATATTTTTATATGGATTTATTAATATTTAAACTGTGTCAATTTACCAAAAGCAATTGTTTTCGCAAACCACCAGTTTTCAATATTAGGAATGGGCAATACCATTTTCATTACTCATGGGGGGGCAGTGGTGTTTGACCCACCCAATATTTTCCAAAATTTTGCTTATCTAACCTACTAACCAAGGGGAACTTTTTTAGCTCATGATTTCAGTTGCATAAGCATAAAGGTATTGAAACGAATGGGTAGCCTATGTATACCTATAGGAGGTCATTCTGGATAATTTCAGAGGAAGCTCATTAGTGAATCAGTATCTGAATAACCTTCAGCAAACATTTTCCACCTCACATTTTTCATTTTAATTCCTTTTTTCCCCCAGATAACAATCACCTTCAACCGTGAAGAATTTCATGTTAAGATCCCTGATGACTACCCTGTATCATTCCCGAATTGTTTTGGTGATGATCAGTACAGCTTCATCCAAGTATTTGGGGATATCAACATCAAGAGCTTTAACATCGAATAAGCAAGTCTACAGGCACTGGATCTGCCCTGTCTGGCTGCTGATTGGCTGTGATCTGTGCCCTATCCTCTGTGAAGCTTAACCATGATGCTTATTGTTAACTCCGCTAATGCAGTAGTGACTATACCATGTGTTCCTTCTTGCAATATGTCTCTGTTCGTTCAAACAGTGTGAACCTGTACAACTTCCCCAGCTGGTCTTCTGAAGATATTTTAATATGAAAATATTACTAGATTTCTTTGAGATGATGAATTCATTATACATAATTGTTCACTTACTTAAATATAATCTATAAGAATTTATACATATTGTCACATTTACTGTAATTCATATCTGTTGATTTTCTTAACCTAAATAAATGTTCCTTGCCAGCAAAACTCAAAACACATGGTTTCCTTTGAATAATTTTTTGCGTAAACTAATGCTGTGACATTCGCGAATGATTCTTCCCAGGAAATGAGTCCCTTACAGGAACCATACACTCATGTTTACTTCCCTGCACAGATTAATTCTTTTTGTTTTTCCGCTTGTGACTTGAAAGCTGCGTCCCTACTCAACTATGGCCAGTGAGAGCCAGTGAAGCATGTTAGGGCGTGCTTAAAGCAAGCAACTGTTTGGCTGGAAACTACCCTGGCCCTAAAGAACAAATGATAACTCTGAATTAGAGACTGCCTCTCTCTATGAGTCAGTGGGTGATCAAGAGGCTCTGATAGGCTACCCATTGGTCATGACCGAACATGAAGGAGTGACCGAGTAAAATACCACTGTCACTAAATATGCACTTTATAAGACAACTGACGTGTCTGACACAATTCATTTTCAGTAATAATTACCTTTTAGTCTACTGTGGTGTATGACACATATTACTCTCCAGTTAAACCCAACACAAAAGTATCTTACCTATTTCTGATGGCCTGACCTCATCCATGGATGATTGAGCTGCAACGTCAGTGTCACCATCTGGAATGATTCCTGTTTCACCCGTTTTCATCAGCTATGTTACCATCCAGAGGTGATACTGACATGGTGCTTCGGCCACCCCCTGTGGCACGGATGTGGGATCCGTGGGCTGCGATCCTTTTTTTGATGGTAATTTTCAGATTGAGCTACTTCTTTCCCCCAGCCTCCATTTCACACTACAGGTGACTCAGAAATAACTGTACGTGTTACCTGTGCCCATGCTGGGTCCTTCTCTCTCTTTGCAGGCCATTGGTAAAGTTGCCAAACAGTACATATCATCAGGTCTCTGTCCTGTCCTGGCTGTCATTTTCCCTGTTTGGTCAGCAGGTGTCGCTGGTCATCCTGTTCCGTTTCCTAGTCGTTAGTGCTTGTTAATTGTTTATTATTCTCACCTGTTCCTAGTTGTTCTTAAGCTTCTAGTGTTGAGTTAACTGTGATGGTTCTCGCCCGTCCCTGGTTATGCCCTTGTTACCTGTCTGTATATGTGCCTCCCCTTGCCCTGTCCCTCTGTGTCTTTGAGAGTTTTATACAGTATGTGCCATGTGCCTTATTCATGGTTTTCTTTGTGGACTTTATGTGCTTTACCTACCTTGTGTACATTAGTTAATCCCAGTATTATTCACCTGCCTTGGCTTAGACCCCTCGCGGTCCTGTTGTTTCCTGTCTTTTTTCTTGAGTGTGATTGCTGTTAAAGCTCCTTGTTCTTTCAGCCCCAACAACCCAGTGGTGGCTGCCTAGGGACCTCAGGAACTGCATTTCCCAGCCAAAACACAGGTGCATCCCGCCTCCGCCTATCGGCCTGGCGATGGAAGCGCTGAATGGCTATCCGAATGGAGCATGGCAACTCCATTCCTCATTCAGTCATCAGCGTTCGGGATCTGAGTGCTGTTGGTGTCCCAAATACACAGGGGTGGTTGGTGACACAACACCTACTGCAAGGGGGGTAACCCAGTGGGGGAGAGGAGCAGGGAGTTGTGAGCGTAATCAACAGGGTTACCATACACAAAAACAGAGACTATCACTAAAACCATTGATTTATGCATTTTTTTTGTAAAATAAAATAGTTAAAGCTGTTCTTAAAGTTGTTTTTTTCATGATCAACAAGACTGAAGAAATGTCTGTATGACTGTGCTTCTCATCAGCCAGTCAGAATGCAGTTTGTGAATTTTACAAACTGGCCGCACTTCTGTTCCACAGAAGTCGGTATGGCTGGTAGGGAGCGCCTGAGCCCTGTGTGGGATTATTTTGAATATAATCCTGAAACCTCAAAAAGCCAAGTTATTTTCATGTCAGATCGTACCCCGTGCAGTATAGAGATCAAAGGAAAAATCCAACCAACCTCCAAGTACATTTACAAAGTTATCATTGAGAGGAGTACAAATCATACATGGATAAAGAATGATCGAGAAAGAGGCCCAGTGCAAGCAAAAGGTCTGACAGTATACTACCGGCACAGAGGCAGCAGACCCTGACATCTTCTCTCCAAAGCTTTGAAATATGGCCGACCAGCTCCAATGAATGCAAGAAACATGAAAACACTCTGGTTAATTTGTTCATTGAAACAGGCGTGTCCATGCGGTTGTGTGATGTTCTCACATTCAAAGCACTGAATGTTGCTCTAAAATCCCAGATTCCATACACCATGCTCAGCATGAAGCAGGGGCTTTGCTAGACATGAAACTCTACTGGGGCACAGGCCCCCCTACCTCCCATTACCCATATGGTTCTTTTTGAAAGTGTGGCATTGTGTGCTCCTTGCGACTGACTGGCACTACATCTAAGGTGTTCCCCTGCCTAGTATTCAGTGTCACCTGAAATAGGGTCCAGTCCACAGACCCCCCACCCCCCAGAAGTTAACGACATCACCTAAAGGACAAAGCCATTTAGGGTAATTGTACTGCGCACTGCTGTGCCAAATCATGTTGCGCTCTTGCCATAGATGTATATCACAGTGCCAGTGACTCAGGTGGTGAACATAGGTGTTCATCCCAACACCAATGAAACAACGTCTGCAGTAGCAGGCCATGACAGGCCTCGAACCCCAGTCTCTCACGCCAAAGAAAGCAATATTAATCTAGGCTTTAGAATCGTTATAATAGTATTAATAAGGAATATAACTGTAGTACTAGGCAATTTTTGAACAAAATTAAATATCTAAGTGTAAAAAACTACATTTTATGCAAGTGCAAGACACAGTAGATGGGGGTCTGCTAGGATGTGATGACGGGGGCAAAGTCAGGTGACCAGTTATACATGATTGGGTCCTGTTCTTCTCTTGGCCTGTGTGGACACTGACTCAGGGCCTGCTCTACCTTTGAAGGAGCCTTAGATAAAGCTTCACTTGGGAGCAGAGTCACTTTTTGGTTATGACAACATCCGGGGAACACCCCAGAATACTCAAGGATTTGTCTCTAACCTTTGTATTGGCTCCAAAGTAGGTGTTGTTTTATTTTTAATTAGTCTCTCGTTGTCTCAATCTCTCACTCTGTCTCTCTTTCTCTCTCTCTCAGACAGACACACACACACACACACACTGATATAGAATTTGTATTTAGATATTTTTAGCTGCATAACTTATTTACACAAACAAATCTGGATCAGAATGTAATTTGCTAGCTGATTGAAGTGTGTACTAGTGTTGTAGTTCTCGAGACCGGTCTTGGTCTCGAGACCGGTCTCGAGACCAATTTTTTGTGGTCTCGGTCTTGTCTTGGTCTCGACTCTATTTGGTCTCGGTCTTGTCTTGGTCTCGACTC